GTGTCAAGTAGACAAATAACGAACCATGAACTTTAACTTGTTTGCAATTCCTACTATATTAGATCCTCACGGGTCTATTACTTGGTTCGTCTTGCAGCGAGCGAAGCTAGTATACGGGCCGTCATCGTCGTATGGTCTAGTCGACTTACTCCACTAGCACAACGTACTACGACTTGAGTTAGAGGACCATTCATGGCAAGATAATAGCATCTCACAATATGTATCCTTCACGACCACCTATCTCGTAGCCACATGACCATCTATTGACTTCGGATAATGTCGACAGCTCAGTTGTATTCATCACGTGCTTTATTATCTTTTATAGAGTAGTTTGTTGCTTGCACCTAGGTTTGTTTGTTCTCATTTATGAAATATATAATTATCCATCATAAAGAGACACGCAAGGCGGGCGCGGAGGGTCTTTGTTTTCTCCTCTCTACACACACACACACACACACACACACACACACACACACACACACACACACACACACACACACACACACACACACACACACACACACACACACACACACACACACACACACATTACATCACATCACAGATTATGACGCGCGCGGATCAGTCGAGCGCCCCCGATGACGCTGTACGTCGCAGCACACCCACCCACAATGTACCCATGCATGTATACACGCACCTACACACACACACACACTTGCATGCGCACACCCCATGCACACCCACCCTCCCTCATGTTCTGCTTGCCTGCATCTGTGGTGCAACACAGGATTCCCACGCCGTGCTGCACAAGTTTGCGCCGCTGCTGTCGCTGTTGCGTGAGAAGATGCTGGCGCTTCCACCATACATGACGCAAGCACCCACATCCTCATCGTCCACACACACATCCACGTCAGGCTCAACTGCTGCAAAGACTCGACAGGACCAATCGCAGGTGCACACACACGCACACACTTGTTAAATGGGCCTGAATGAGTGCTATCGAGACACACACACGCACGCACACATACACACACGCACGCACGAACACACGCACGCACGCACACATACTCGCACACTCGCACACGAACACACGCACGCACGCACACATACTCGCACACTCGCACGCTCGCACACGAACACACACTGACCTTCGCTTGTTTGCCCCTCCTCCCCCACAACGTCTTGCCCAATCACCACGGCTGCGAACAGAGCGCGAGTGCAGAGGAGAAATACGTGGAGGAGCTACGACCACACGCGTTTCGAATGGTGCAGATGGATTACTCGTCCCATCTCTACAAGAGATACATTGATGAGTCTGCAAACGCCAATGTCAGTCGCCAGCGCATGTCACGCATTTTGAAGGAAGTGGCGTCCCTCACCACCAGCATGCCCGTCCATTTTGCATCCTCCATCTGCGTTCGGGTCGACGAGGTACTGTGAACAATGCAATGTTGCTCTGTGTGTGTGTGTGTGTGCGTGTGTGTGTGTGTGTCAATGTTTGATGTGAATGTGTGTGTGTGTGTGTGTGTTTGATGTGTTATTGCGTGGAAGTGTATGTGCGTGCCCTTCAACCAACTCAGACACAGCCCGTTCTTGACTAGCCACGTGCATACCGCCTTCTTTCCCTCACACTGACTGCTCCCTGCTCCCTGCTCACGGTGCAGACGCGCCCCGATGTGATCAAGGCGATGATCACGGGGCCCGAGGACACGCCGTATGCCAACGGGTGCTTCATCTTCGACATTTTCCTGCCGCAGCAGTACCCAGCTGTTCCGCCAATGGTTTCGCTCATCACCACAGACGGCGGCCGTGTCCGCTTTGGTTGGTCCACGCATGGGTCACGGCATTGTGCACTTGCTTTGACATGGATGTGTTTTGTGTGTGTGTGTGTATGTGTGTTTTGTGTTTGTGATAGGCATGCACTTGTGCACTTGTACATGTGTGTGTGTGTGTGCGAGCACCTGTTTTCTTCGCCCACGTGTACATGCGCCGTGCAAGTAGCGCACGTTTTGCTTTCAAGCACCACGTCACTCACGCATCGACACCCAACCCAAAACCTGTCACCACCACCATCATCATCACCCACTACCATCGCCACCCACTACCATCATCATAATGACAACCATTACACGCGGCAACCAAGGCCCCAACCTGTACAACACGGGCAAAGTGTGCCTGTCACTGCTTGGAACGTGGTCTGGCCCCGGCTGGGACCCGAAAGTGTGCACGGTGCTTCAGGTGCTTGTATCCATTCAGTCGCTGATTCTGAACGAGCAGCCCTTTTTCAACGAGCCCGGGTATGAGTTTTCAACGCAGACCCCGGATAGCGAACTCTACAACACATGCGTCTCCTACCAGGTATTCCTCTGGTCTTACCATACGCGAGCTGTCGTGTGTGTGTGTGAGTGTGTGTGTGTGTGCAAGTGTGTGCAAGTTTGTGTGTGTGTGTGTGTGTGTGTGTGTGTGTGTGTGTGTGTGTGTGTGTGTGTGTGTGTGTGTGTGTGTGTGTGTGTCGT